AGAAGTAAAATTTCATCGTTACTTAGTGTGTTGGACAGACAGAAATCTCTCAGGTAACACCAGATGCAGAGAAGGGAAAGGCATCTGCTGATGTGAGCCCCTCCACAGGCCAAGCTCCTCAAGGTCCCACAGCAGGGCTGGGCCACACCCTGGCAGTCAGGTGCTGGCAGGAGACGTGTCCTCCTCGGCCACGTGGCCGGTTCCATTGGAGCAACTGAAGCTCAGCTACCGAAGCTCTCCTGTTGATGAGCAGTGGGGTCCCCCCAGGAGCCCAGCAGAGGGCGACGAGACGACACTTTAAGGGCGCAAATGGAGTCCACCGGCCCTGGGAGTTTATCCCAGGCTAGGCTTGCAACTTGCAGTTGGCCTGAAGTCCAAATGAGGCTGCTTACGTGACCAGAGCACATGCACAGAGGCTGACACTGAGTCAACTCAACACGTGCTGATGCAGGACAGCTGCCAAGACGCGCCGTTTGGAGGGAAAGGCAGAGGGCAGGTGGGCAGCGGGCCGGGCTGCAACCCACAGACAGAGACGCGCACGTGCTCACACACCAGGATGCTCGACTACAAACAGGGGTGGGAAGCAGACTGACGTTTCACTCCATCTGTTTTCCCATCTTTGGAGTTTTCTACATGCGACTGTAATGCTTAGTGAAGAAATAAATGAGATATGATTCCCTCTATATTTCATATAAAGGTAGAATAGGTAAGGTCAGAGGGATAGAACACAGGTTGGTCACTGCCAGGAGCTGGGAGAGATGAGGGGTTCAGAAGCAACTGAGCTGTGGGTGTGGGTTTCCTCTGCGGGTGATGAATAAATGCTTTGGAACTAGACAGGGGTGGTGTTTGCGCAACATGGTGAAAGTGCTAAATGCCACTGACTGCTTTTTAAATTAATTAAAGAGCTCAATTTTATGTTATAGGAAGTTCTTCTTGATTAAAGAAAAAAGTAAATAATAGTAAATAATGGTAAATAAATAAAGCAGGCTTTCACCTGTCTGTGCTTGGGAGGCAGCTGGGCAATGCTGGTTAGAACAGTGGGAAGGGGGGCTTCTGTAGTGGTCCAGTGGTTAAGAATTTGTCTTGCAACGCAGGGCACGAGGGTTCGATCCCTGGTGGGGGAACTAAGATGCCACATGCCACAGAACAACTAAGCCCTGGCACTGCAACTACTAAAGCCTGTGCACTCTGTGGCCCGCAAGCCACAACTAGAGAGTCCACGCATGGCCAAAGACCCCGCACGACGCAACAGAGATTCCTCACGCTGTAACTGAGGCCTGATGCAGCCAAATAAATAAATAAAATATACTTCAAAGAAGAAAGAAAACAAATTCCTTTTTTTAAAAGTATGTGAGAATAGCACATATTAAAAATAATAATAATAATAAAGAAGAATGGGCAGGGAGGCCCAACTGTGGGGCTCAGACCTCAGCTGTACCCAGTAGGCCCTGTGAGACCTGGGATCAGTCATCTGGCCTCTCTGAGCCTCAGTTTCCAGGCTGGTGAAATGGGCTTCCTAAGGTCACATGAATAAAGTAAATAGGCCCCGAGGGCCTCTGCTCCTGCTGTCTGCCCTGCTGAGCATGCCCTTTCCCAGGGCAAACTCGAGGGTCACCCCCTTGCCTCCTTCAAGCCTAGCTCCAAAGCCACCTTCTCGATGGGATTTCCCCTGATCACCGGCTGGAAAACCAGAAACCTCCGTGGCTTGACTCCCTGCCCTGAGGCTCCATCCTCTCCACTTCCTGTTTCTCTCCCTCATACCTGCTCATTTATTTTGTTCATCTCCTGCCTCCCTCTCCTGCACCACCTGCTCTGGAGAAGTAGGGGTTTCTGTCTGCCCCGTTCATTATGTACCTCAAGGCAGGCGCTCAATAAATACAGGATGAGTGAATGGATAGAGTTCCTAATAGTTCTGCTATGATCTGGTGTGTAAACTTGCCTTCCTCCAAAAATAAAACTGCTGTTTGTTGTTCAATGAGCTTGAGATTAAAAATTCAAAATAAATACTGTATTTCATATATATGTGAAATCTAAAAAAACCCAACACACACAAACAGACAGAAAAAACATAAACAGAGGTATAGATACAGAGAACAAACAGGTGGTTGCCTGAGGGGAAGGGAGGTAGGGGAGAAAAGAAATAGCTGAAGGAGGGTAACAGGTACAAAGTTTCAGTTGCAAAATAAACCAGTCATGGATATGAAATGTACTGTGGGGAATATAGTCAATAACAATGTAATATCTTCATTTAGTGACATACTATAACTTGACTGACTTGTGACAGTTAGAAATGTACAAAATACTGAATCATTACATGGCATAATAGGAACTAACATACTGTTGTAGGTCAATTATACTTCAAAAACAAACTCATAGAAAAAGAGATCAGATTTGTGGCTACCATCAGGGAAGGTGTGTGCTTCTTTGGGCTTCCCTGGTGGGGTTCAGATGGTGAATGAATGAATGAATGCATGAATCTACCTGCAATGCGGAAGACCTGGGTTTGATCCCTGGGTTTGATCCCTGGGTTGGGAAGATCCCCTGGATGAGGGAACAGCTACCCACTCCAGTATTCTGGCCTGGAGGACTCCATGGACAAGAGAACCCTGGCAGGCTACGGTCCATGGAGTCGCAGACAGTCAGACATGACTGAGCGACTTTTCACTTCACTTCAGTGGTAGGTGGAATGGGAGAGGGGGAATGGGACACGAAAGCAGTGAAAGGCATAAACTTCCTAAGGATATAATGTACAACATGATAAATATAATTAACATTGCTATATGTTGCATATGAAAGTTAACAGAGGAAATCCAGAGTTCTCATCGCAAGGAAAAAGTAAATTTTTGAAATGAGATGAGATGATGGATGTTCACTAACTTTATTGTCATCATCACTTTATGCTGCGTATAAATCAAATCATTACATAAATCAAATCATTATGCTGAGGCTCTCCTGGGGGCTCAGTGGTAAAGAATCCTCCTTCCAACGCAGGGAACAAGGGTTCGATCCCTGGTCTGGGAGGATCCTGTGTGCCACAAGACAACTGACCTTGTGCATCACAACTGCTGAGCCCACGCTCTAGAGCCTGTGCACCTCAACAAGAGTCACCCCAGCTCGCCAGCAACTAGAGAGAAAGCCCAAAAGCAGCAACGAAGACCCAGCACTGCTAAAAATAAATAAATACATTTGCTTAAAAATTAAAAACCTTTTAAAAAACAAAAACTTAGACATCTTTTAGAAAAACTATTATGCTGTGCATGTTATACAATATCGTGTGCCAATTATCTCAATAAAACTGGGAGAAAAATACAACAGTTTAAACTAAAAAAAAAAAAAAACAAAACACACAGTATTTCCAGAGAAAAGTATTATTCCCAAGGAGAGGGATTTGCAAAGGAGAAGAGATGGTTCACAGTGAAAGGGTGTTCACAGTGAGACGGTGCTACATGCTCTAAAACATAAACATCGAGTAAACAGCCACCCTGACCTCTGACTGCCCAGGGTGGTGTGAGCGCTGTTCCTGCGAGGCTCTCATGAGAAGCAAGAACACAGTGCCCGGCCTCGGACCCGTTCCCCCAAACACCTCGGGACAGAATCACTCATTCACGCAGGATGGGGTAGGTGGATAGCAGCAAGCCAGTCACCCTGCCTATGCAGGGCCTTCCCTGTCCCGCACCAACAGCCTTCACACGGGGAAAAGGTGACCTCAATTACACACAGTTCAAAAATGAAAAACTAAAATAAAATATTGATACCATGCATCAAATAAAACGAGAAACTGTTGTACAGGTCAGAGAACTCTACTCCATGCTGCGTGGCAGTCTAAATGGGAAGGCAATCCAAGCAAGAGGTTTATTTATAGCTGATTCTCTTTGCTGAACGGCAGAAACTAACAGAACATTGTAAAGCACCTATACTCCAATCAAAAGTAATTTAAAAAAATAAATAAAACTCAGGCTCTTCTAACAACAGGCTGTCTTTCTAGTTAGCGCTTCTGTGAGACGGCTACATCATTACACAACAGGGTGGCATCTCTGCTTTTCTGCTGCCTCCAAACTCTGCGCGGAGGAAAAATAAAAAAAGCTGAAGCCAGCAATCTCCAAGAGTTTGTGGCTTTAAAAAGTGAATAAAACAAAACCTACAAGAGGGAGTACAACCATCAAGGAGCATCTTCTGTTCTCTTAGGAGCCACGACTGTGGGTATAACCTGGCTGCCAGCTAGGAGTCAGGGTGGGGGTGCTGAGTTGGAAGGCACCTAATGCATGGGTCTCCAATTTCCTAGAATGTCAGGTCCGGGGCTGGCTTGTGAAAAATGCCAATTGCTGGGCCCCACGCCAGAGTTTCTGATGCAGTAGGTCTGGGGTGGGGCCTAATAATTTGCATTTTTAACTAGTTCCCAAGCAAAAGGACGCTGCAGGTTCAGACTACACTTTGAGAACAACTGCTCTAGAACAAAGCCTTCCAGGTCAGAGTTTCACCTCCCTCCACTGAACACAGGACGTGCAGGCAGACACACGTGCACACAGGGAGCCGCAGAGAGCCGGGTCCAACCACTAGCCCTCCAATAGCCAGGCTCCCCTGGCACAGCCAACAGCTGACGGAACAAGCCCTCAGCGGTACACGGACCTTCTAAGAAGCCCATTCGGGTCCCTCCTGAGCCAGTCACTGCGACAGGTTCTAAGTCACTCCTGAAGCCCTTGAAATCCAAAGTTACAGATTTCCCTTTCTGGGGGGAGCAGTCACGAGCAATCCCGCCCTTTGCACATGGGTAACCACCGGCGGCAAGATCCGCTTTCTGCCTAGTGATGATCTCAAGTCTCTTTTCAAGTTACAGAAGCAGCAGCTGAAAGAGGAAATTAAAAAAAAAAAGACAGCACACTCAAGGAGAGTGACAGCATCCCTGGTGGGGGACGGGGGAGGGGGGACGCTTCCCCCTAATGCCCAAATGCAGGGACCCCATCACCCGCTGTGGGCCACCACGCCAGCCTCTCAACACTCACCAAAGTAATCGGCCTTGGGGTGGGCATCCATCTCCCGCTCCAGACGCTGGGTGAGGGCTTCTAACTTTAATTCGGCGGCTGTGGGTCCAAGCTCAGGGCCCGGGATGAGCGTCTGGCAGGGTAGCCTCACTCTGGGAGAACTCGGCGTCTCCGGGAGCACAGGCCCCAGGCTGCCATCAGAGGCCCAGCCGGAGGCACCTTCTTTACAAGATAACTCAGGCAGGGTGGACATCACTGGATGGACAAGGCTGTTGGGGCTGAGCTTGGGACCAATGCCAGAATCTGTACAGCCAGGCTTGGGACCCAGCCCAGGGACAGCACCCGCCTGCATATGGTCCATGCTGGCTGGCGAGGATGAAGAGGCAGAGCTAGAAAGGTAAGATTTGGGCCCATCTTGGAACCAGGGTTGAGGGTCCGCAGTGGGTTTGGGCATCGTGCCTGAAACCTCACTCCCTACCCCCGAGTTTGTTCTGGGAAGAGACCCTTGACTGGGCCGGTTCAGGGCCAGGGGTGCTGAGAAAGAAGGGGTCCTGGGCTGAGCAGACCTCGGGAGGGCCCCATTCTCTGGGCCCGGGGAAGGGAGGCCAGGGCTCACTCGCTGGGAGGAGGCGGTGGTCCAGACGCCCGCTGGCTTCTCGCTGTTGCCTCCTCCAAGCCCACCGTCCTGGCCACTCTGCAAAGACCTGCCGGAGCCTGGGGAGAGCTGCTGGTGGTACAGGTGAGGCTCCCTGGAGGGCTTAGACAGCAGTGGGTCACTCCCTGGGGTCCCAGACCACCCACTTCCTACACCCAGCCTGATGCCAGGGGACACTCCCGGGTCGTCGGCCCACCTGGGGCCTGCCAAGGACAGGTTGTCATAATAGTCTCCGTGGGTGAGGCAGGAGGGATCCTCACAGGGGCCCGGCTGATGGAAAGCAGACATCTCAGAACTCGTCATGCTCTCCTTGGACCCACAGTCTTGGCTGCCTTGCCTCGAACCCTGGACGTACAGCTTGGCCCTCTGCTCCTGGGGTGGGTACGAGGGCTGCCCAGGCACCACGGTGGTGGTCGTCCCAGGGGTCACGGTTGAGGCAGCGAGAGGGGGCTTGGCAGCACCGTCCGCCGCCAGCCTGCTGCCCCCACCAGCTTCCCGGTGGGCGGGTGGGCCCAGGCGTCCCCCGCCGTTAACGGGACCCCGGCTCCCCCTGGGCAGGGTTTCCTCCTGCAGGAGCTGCTGCTGCTGGAGGTGGATTTTGGCCATCTTGGTAGCAAACACCCTGCGGGTTTCCTCAAACTCCGGGTTGTTGCCTGCACCCTTGTCCACTCGGAAGAGTCCATCTTTGGAGGCCTCGTACATGTTCAGGTCCTCAATGAACTTACTGGCCTCCAGGCCCAGGTCGTCGTACTTATCCATGTTGCTGACCTGGCCTAGCCTAGTTGAGTACGTGGAGGTGGGGCGGCGGGGTTCCTGGCAGAGGGCGGACACTCAAGTCCAGCCCAGGACAGGTACAGCCTTCCACCTGCCCACCATGAGAGTCATGACCCCGGGCCTTAGAGTCCAGAGGATGCTGAGGCCTCAAAGTCACTTGGGCCCAAGTTGCTTCCAATTCCCCTTCCCTTCGGAGGTGTCCGAGTGGGGGCGGCTGGCGGCTCTTGGCTGTCCGAGCTGGCTGTGAGTTCTTTTCTCCGTTTCAAATCATAAAACGGAAAAGAAATACGGAAGGAAAAAAAAAAATCACATCCTCCTTAAGCAACCAAACTCAAAGACACCCACAAGAAGGCAGCAGCCGCCGGACAGGAGGGAAAGTTGCTCAGAGAGCCGAGCGCAGAGGGCCCCGGACCGGCCGGGCCGGAGAGAAGGCGCGGCGGTGGGAGGCGCGAGCACGTACCGGGCGCTCGGTCCTCCGCGGCTTCCCTTGGTGGCGCGGAGCTGCGATCGTGGCCGGCGCGGGGACGGATCGGGGATCGGGATCCGGGGCACACGGGCCGGCCGGGCCCCGGCGGGAAGTTCACGGCAGCCGGGCGGGCGGTCTATTGTCCGATGGCGGCGGTGGCTGGGAGCGCGCGAGCTGGAGGGCGGCGGGACGCGGAAGTGAGTGCGCCGGACGCCGTCCCCGCCGCTCGGTCGCCGGCCGGGCACGTCGCGGGCCTGCGAGGAGGCGGAGGCGGAGGCGGCAGCCGAGGGGCGGGGGCGCGGGAGAGGGGCGGGGTCGGCGCGCGCGGCTGCGGGCGCCCAGGGGCAGGCCAGAGCCCGACGCGGCTGGGGAACCTGGAGGTGTGTCTGGCGCGCCTCTTCCAGCTCTCGAGCGCCGGACAGCCCCCGAAGTGCGACCGGGCTCCAGTCCTTGGGCAGAGCGGGGCGGAGGCCACTCCGCGGGGATCGCTGGCAGGCGACCTGGATGGCTTGCGTGGACCGGAGACGTGCAGCTTTAACTTTGCGGGAGTCCCAAGGTCGCGCGCTCCTCGCCCCACTGTGCCTCAGTTTCCCGAGTGGAAAGTCAACCCCTCGTGCCGGCTTGGCCCCGGCCGTGCCCTCGCTCCTACACAAGGTGCAGGATTGGCGACCCACGGAGTCACCTGTGGCTGGCCTAAGTCCTCTTGGACAGGTAGGGAGACTGAGGCACCGAGGGAGAAGTGTCCAAGATGCCATCATGACTAGCAAAGCGTGGATGGGTGCCCAGGTCCTCTGAAAGGGGGTTAAAAGGCACGTTGTTGCCCAGAGCGAGCGTCCTAAGTCCCTCTGTTCGGCCATAAAATCTCGTGCCCTTCTGACTCATTATTCAAGGGAGGATTTCTGACACTCGAAAGAAGATCCGCGCAAGTCGGCGCCAGGCCTGACTCCAAGGCAGGACTCCGGGGCACCCTAGCAAGGCCCACCACTCCCTGCACCACCTCCGAGGTGACCCTGGAGAGGTTTCATTTCCCAGGGAGCAGACATCGTGATCCTAAAGCCGATACCAGACGGATCACTTCCCTGGAAACCCTCAGTGCTTACCAGGGACTTGGATTGAAATCGACCCCACAGCAGCCTTCCTGCCCTGGCAGGGTCTGCCCCGCCAGGGCAGGTTTGACTGGGGAGTCTTCCCTGCCACTAGTTGCAGGAGCTTCCTGGTGTCTGCCCAGAGCTGGCCTCTGAACTTCAAGATGGCTCGTCCTTACCATCTCTGCCAAAATAACACTCTCTAGAACCCCTCTTTTTCAGCACCCTCTTTATTTCCTCATCAGTTCTGATCACTATTTATATTTATCTGTTTACATGTGGTTTTTTTGGTGGTTGGTTGGTTTTCCACCCCATTAGACCATATCTGTATGCCCAATATCTATATGTCACAGTACTTAATGGTTGAATAAGTGAATTAGCCAATCTATTTGTCAGCGTTGTGACAAGGAACCAAATAATGCAATACACATGAGAGTGCTTTGTACTCTGTAAATCCAAAATGTGGTTCATTTTGTGGCAGGTAGACAACCTCAGACATGCAGATGACACCATGCTAGGGGTAGAAACGGGAGAGGAACTAAAGAGCCTCTTAATGAAGGTGAAAGAGGGGAGTGAAAAAGCTAGCTTAAAATTCAACATTCAAAAAACAAAGATCATGGCATCCAGTCCCATTATTTCATGGCAAATAGATGGGAAAACAATGGAAACAGTGGGAGATTTTATTTTCTTGGGCTCCAAAATCACTGCAGATGGTGACAGTAGCCATGAAATTAAAAGATGCCTGCTCCTTGGAAGAAAAGCTATGACAAACCTAGACAGTGTATTACAAAGCAGACATCACTTTGATGACAAAGGTTCATATAGTCGAAGGGATGGTTTTTCCAGTAGTCATGGACAGGTGTGAGAGTTGGACCACAAAGAAGGTTAAGCGCCAAAGAATTGATGCCTTTGAATTGTGACGTTGGAGAAGACTCTTCAGAGTCCCTTGGACAGCAAGGAGATCAAACCAGTCAATCCTGAAGGAAATCAGCCCTGGATATTCACTGGAAGGACTGATGCTGAAGCTTAAGCTGTAATGTTTTAGCCACCTGATGTGAAGCGCCAACTCGTTGGAAAAGATGCTGGGAAAGATTGCGGACAGGAGGAGACGGGGGCGACAGAGGATGAGATGGTTGGATGGCATCATTGACTCAATGGACATGAATTTGAGCAAACTCCGGGAGATGGTGGCGGACAGGGAAGCCTGGCATGTTGCAGTCCGTGGGGTCACAAAGAGTTGGACACGACTGATCGACTGAACTGAACTGATTGGAGGTACAGAGAATTAGCTGAGAGTGACCCAGGGATGCAGCTGCAGGGAACTGGCTGATTAGGGCAGTGAAAGCGTGAATGGGCTGAGGAAGAATTCACGATGGAAGCATGAAGCCTCCCCCTGTGCTCCCCACTGCCACCTCCACTCCCACCCGAGATCCTGGCCCTGAACTGCAAGGAGGCCAGCCAGCACAGGGCACTAGAGACCTCCAGCTGAGGTTCCGCTGCACAGATGTGGGTGTGGAGTTGGGTCTAACCAGGGCTGCCTTCTGCCAAGTGAGCGCAATGTAACTAGAGGGACAAGAGAGTCACTGTCTCTTCTGCCCAGAACTGCTCCACAGATATGCCTCTGTCTCCCTCCTTTATAGCCCTCAGGTCTCCACTCAACGGTCACTTCCCTGGGAAGTCTGCACGCCCCCTCTCTATCCCCAACCCCACCTGCCCCCACAGTGACCAACTGTCTCCTCACCAGAATGCAAACATCATGAGGCCCCAGATCTCTGCCCATCTTGTTCATCACAATAGCCCAGGAAACCAAAACAGTGCCTGGTGTGTGGTAGGGCCCCCAAATGCTTGATAAATGAATGCATGGGTCACATCAGAAGAGGAAGTACAGGTGTTACCATCCACAGAGAAAAAGAATTAATTGGACTTCGGAACTCCCTGGTGGTCCAGTGGTTAAGAGTTCGCCTGCCAATGCAGGGGACGCGGGTTTGATCCCCGGTCCAGGAAGACCCCATATACCACGGGACAACTAAGTCCGTGCGCCACCACCACTGAAGCCCGCACGCCTGCAGCCTGTGCTCCACAGCAAGGGAAGCGACCGCAGTGAGAAGCTCGTGCCCCGCAACTAGAGAGTAGCCCCACTCACCGCAACTAGAGTAAAGCCCGCGTGCAGCAACGGAGATCCAGCACAGCCAAAAACAAATCAGTAAAACTATTAAAATAAATTAATAAATACGCTATAAAGACATGTCCATATTAATTAAATCAACAACAACAACCAAATAATTCACTGGACTTAACAGTGACCCAGATTCAGAGAAGCAATTCAGAGAAGAATACAGAGGAGACGGTATTCTTCCTCTTATAATTCTGTGTGCCACTACAAACCTTCTGCAGATCTTGTTTGATCACCTGTACCAAATATTTGATCTGCCTCGGAGATCATACATCTTGCCAGGCAAGAGTATGACTACATAGAATTGTACGTGTGTGTGTCTGAACGTATTCGGGAATGTATTGGACTGAAGAATAGCTGTTTGCATGCATACATATATGTTTTTTATATAAATGTGTATAAAGGATCATTGACTAAACAGCATTTGAAACACCCTCGTCCAACGGACTGGAGGCAGTAAATGGTGCTCAGACAGCCAATGAATTACCGGGGGGCCCAGGAGGCAAAGGGCCCCCGTCCTTGGACGGAGCCCTGCTTATTTTGCAGTTAACTGAAAGGGCCTTTCTGTCCCTTTTGCTGGGCTCCAGGGAATGTCCCAGCACACAAAGCGGTAAGTGTCCTAAAGCCAGAGGGCTACTTCAAGGAGAGCGCTGAAAAGAATCTTTGTCTTTCAGCCAGGCGGATGGATGAAGGACTAAGAACCAGGCTCCTCTGGGCTCTTTCCATCCCACGGACATCTCAAGCAGGCCAGGAAAGCCTGGCCCTTCCAAAGTGTTTCCTGAACCTTAGGCTTTCTCTCTGGTCCCAAGTCTCACTGTGGAACTGTCCCATGAATGGAGAGAAGCAGCTTCGATGAAGGCCCTTTCCTGGCACTTCTAACGAGCCTGTGTCTCATGACGGTCTGTCCTGGAAAGCTGCCCAGGCCAGACCCACCTATGAGGACCACGACCTTGCCCTGCGTGTGCTGCCAGCGCCCGCCCTTGACCAGTCTCAGCCCCACACCCCGGGCCTTCCGCTGCACAGGAAGACCCAGGTAGGCATGTGCCTGGCCACAGGACCCCACATGGCTCCCCGCAAGGATCCCCACACACCCTCGGGGGAGGGAGGCTGCCCCTTGGCCCTGGCCCAACCCCTCCCGGGCCATCTGCTCAGAGTGCAGCGAAATATGTTTAGCAGAACACAGTGAACTGGAGTGCTGATTTTTGAATCAGCACCAATTTTCTGCTTACTCCTTTTTTGTGTGATTGTTAAATAAGTAATACAAGTATACGGCTTCAAGTCCAAAAGGTGCACATGAGCACACGTGGTGAAAGGAGTCTCTGGTGCCCCTCCAGACACACCCTGTGACCAAAGTACACAGGCATGTACCTTTCTTTCTTTCTTTTTTTTTAACACAGAAAGTAAAAGTGCACTGCCCTTTGCTTTTTGCATTTAACAATACTCTTGGAAACCTTTTCACATCATTTCACATGCAGCTGGCTCGTTCTCTTAGAGGGCTAACATTTCTTTCTTTGGGTGAGTCATGGGTTTCTTAACCAGTCTCCTGTTCACAGACATTTAGGCTGCTTCCAAGCTTTAGCTATTACATATTCTGTGGCCACGGCTGACTTATAAACCGTATCACACCTGTGCGAGCAGGGCCCTGGGATAAACACCCACGAGGCAGGCGTACTCTTGAGAACTCCACCATACTGCCTGGAT